AAAAAATTTAAAAAAAAAAAAACACACCTAGAATGAAATCCTAAAAAATTACCCTACATGCCTATAATGTACTCTTTCTTTTGATGGGAAGGTGAGCAACAACAACCCTAAAAGCCCAACTGCAGGTCTGTTTCACTATGCATTCCAGAATCACAATAACACAGGCATCTGGCGGCAGGAGGGTAACAATGAATAATAAAAACACACTTTCAAGTAAATCTAATTTAAACTTTACTTACAGATGTTTAAGCTGCATGCGAGGAAATGAAGATGTCTTAATTTCTGATATTATATTGGAGCTGAGGTCTAAACTCTCAAGAGCAGGATAAAACTGGAATGCCTCTGCATTTATTTCTGGGATTAAATTATGGACTCTATAAAACAAAGATTATATTGAAGTAATTGCCAGTGATCCAAGCCTGGCTACAAGAATGATAAATAATCAGGATCAACAATATGGGTACTCGGGAAAAAAAAGGAAGAAAAACCTACATACTATTCTTAATTTAAGTGAAAGATCTGAAATCTCAATTACTTACAATGAAAGTAGAGTAATATTAGATGTTGGTTCTCCAAAGTATGGAATTTCTGTTAACTCATTGTAGTTCATTTTCCTAGGCCAGAGGAAAAACAGATTTAAAACTTTAATGAGGGAAATGCTACTTCTTAAATTCTAGTTTCTGCCTAATGCATATTCTTTAGGGTAGGTGCTAAAAAGTCTGTTATTCAGAAATAGACTAAGATAAAAATGAGAAATTAGAGATTTAAGTAAATTTTTCATAGTGTTGATCTAATACTGACAGCAATATGAAAAAGGGTAGGAAATATTTTGCACACTAAATAATCACAGCCCCAGAAAAATCGAAGACTGTTAATTTGAGTCCCTAAAAGGAATTCACCCACATCTCAGTCTCTCCTCCTGTGCCCAAGCACAAATACACACACACACACACACACACACACACACACAAGCTGTTCAAAGTTAAGGAATGTTGCTTAGAACCACCGGTGAAAAATTTGTCCATCTAGAGATCAAACTTATGATTAATTTTACATATAACATGTCACATCTATTCCCAGCAGAACTTTCAACAGACTGTTTCAAATGATTAAAGAACAAATCTAATACAATTACATTTCATTAACCATTTTTTAATCACTGAATAATGTCAATAATTTAGACTACAGATAAGAAACCAAAGTATACTATCTCCAAGAAACCAATCAAAGTTACAAAGTCCATGCAATAAAGCTCATGTGTCTCCCAGGGAAGCACGTTCAGGCCTTCCTTCAGTGCCAGCTCATTCACCTAACAAACCGTCAACTGTTTATTTAGTTCCATAAAAATTAGAGCATGTACTTGGGTTCTAGAGGAAGAATGCAGGGACAAGAACATGAACAAATTAGTCCTGTCAACATAGAATTACAGAGAAAAAGAGACCTGAGTGTTTATAAAGAGGGAGACAAGTCTATATACCTCAAATAATTGTGCCGCTGGGAACATCACAATGCAATAATGTGATAGTAAGTACTCTCAGCCCTCTGGGAGGCTGAGGGAGGAGATGGCAAGTCAGGGAAATTCTGTCTCAAAATAAATATGAAAGGACTCAGTAAGAAGACCCTAGGTGCAATCTCCAGTAGCACATACATACATACATACATAATTTCTGAAAATTCTCTCATAACTCCATACATATATTTCATTAAAGGAAAAACTTCAGTTAAAAAAAAAACTGAATTGTATCAACCACCATATTCTCAAATAATATCCAAAATGTTCTTTCATATAAATCTACTTTAGATGTGATGCTTCCATCTTAGCTGACACATCAAGACATTGAAAGTTTACGCAAGACAGTTTTACTGGCTGAAAACTTGGCACACACACACACAAAAACGTATTTACTTTGACGAAGGAAGAAATCCCACTTTTAGACACTGGGAAGTAGAATAGTATTTCTACAGTTTGCTTGAAATAATTGTCCAGAGAGTAACAAAGCCAAAGACAACACTTTAGGTTTTTAAACAATTTCTTGAAGCATCCCTGGATTGAACATCCCCAATTCACAATTTATTAAATCACTTCAAAGAATTTAATATTAAATTTAAAAAACTTACACTTCTTGTAATGTTTGTGATTCCAAGCTGATGTTCCAGTTAGACAACCGATTATGACTCAAATCCCTAAAGGAGGACAAAATATCATTCTTAGTTTAATGTTGGAAAGTGGACTTAAAAAAAAAATAGGACCTGGGGGGTGTATTCAGTGGTACAGCACTTGTCTAACATATCAGAGATCCTGGGTTCAATCCCCAGCACCACACACAAGAAAACAAAAACAAAATGTAAAAGAAAAAGAAAAAAAGAAGAGGGGGTGAGGGGAGGGGAAGAGGGCGGGAGGGAGAGGGAGGGAAGAGGGGAGCAGCTCTGGGAGAGGGAGGGAAGAAGGGAGCGGCTCTGGGAGAGGGAGGGAAGAGGGGAGCAGCTCCAGGAGAGGGAAATTAATCTTACCCTAAATTACATTAATGATGACAACAGTGGTGGCTAACTTATTAAGTGTCAGGTAGTCTTCCATTTACATTGTATTTACATTAGCTTTTACATATACTACCTGGCTAAATTCACACAAAAACTACTTTACAGGGCACTTTCTTAATACTTTCCTATTATGGCAACAAGCACAGAGATTAACAATTAGTCAATCCAAGGTCACAAAACTAGTAAATGAGGAAGCCACGAACTCAAAATTCCAGCTCATTTCTAGCAAGCAGTTTGTAAGGCACGGTAGAGTCCACTGAGGTTAGTCATGAGTTGAAATACTTGAGTGGACTAAAGAAAAATTCACACTGATGCTTCCTGGCATCTTTACAAGGCTGAGGTGGAATCCAACCCACACAAGCTGTCTGCTCAAGACATGTACGGTATGTGACAATATGGCTAACAATAGGGACACACCAGAGAAACATTACAGATCAATTTATCTCACTGTGCCACCACAGGCAGCTGACAGATGCATACAGGTTTGAATGATGTCTCTATCACGGCAGAACAATTTGTTCTCAGCTAGATTCATGCCTGCCCATCTGTAAAACCTAACCACTTTCATTTAAGAGCTTAATTTACACCATCACATAATTAAGGCTACATTAAACCACCACTTTTCTGCAACAGTTCTAAAGGCTTTAGTCAAGATGTATGGGACAAGGCAACGGTTCAAAGATACTCATGAATGAAAGGGTATGTTGTAAACATAAGGACAGAAACATGATTTGTTCCACATAAAAATCTAGGAGATATAGCTCAGTGGCATAAGCGCTTGCCTGGCAAGCCTGAGGTCATGAGTTTGATTCCTGGTACCAAAAAAAAAAGAGAAAAAAGGGGCTGGGGATTTAGCTCAGCGGCACAGCGCCTGCCTGGCAAGCGCAAGGTTGTGAGTTCGATTCCCGGTACTGGAAAAAAAAAAATTAAAATAAATTAAAATAAATTAAATTTTAAAAAAAAAATCTTACACTGGGCCTGGGGATGCAGCTCAATGGTAAAGTACCTGCCTAGCACACAAAAGGCCCTGGATTCAATCCCCAGCACTGCAAAATAAAAAGATATTTTAAAAAGTCTTACATTCAGAGCTAGGAGTGTAGCTCACTGGTAAAGCATGCAGATTAATATGTGCACAGCCATGAATCCAATCTGTAGCACCAAAAAAAAAAAAAAAAAACCTAACCCTTTTATATATTGAGATACTTCCTCACACTTGCTACTAAACAAATACAGAATTCTAAAGAAGTGAAAAGTTTCGTTATTTCACAGCATTTCAACTCTTGCAGAAATTCAATTGTTCTACCCTAAATTAGATATTCCATATTCTGCTTGAAACTCACTGGCACAGTAAATGAAAAGCTAATCACATCTGCGTAGCAGGCTAGCACAGTATGATCTAATTCTGTATTTCATGACTCCTCAAATTTAGCATTTTCCCCTCTTAGAGATTCAGGGCTTTCATCTCAATCTTAATTATTTTCAATTTAATCATAAATTCTAGAGTGCTGGGGATGTGGCTCAGTGGTGGAGTTCCTGCCTTGCATGCACAAGGCCCTGGGTTCAATTCCCAGCACCACATACATACATGTATACATAAATAAATAAATTCTGCGATTAAGGATTTAAGTTGGCCAGGGATATAGCTCAGCAGCACAGCACCTGCCTGGCAAGCACAAGGTCCTGAGTTTGATTCCTGGAATAAAAAAAAAGAATTTAAGTTGGGCCCAGTGGTGCACACTTATTATAAGTAAAATGTTCATAATGCCTTTCTGACCCCTCCATATCTCTAGCAATGTAACTCTTGACTGTATTCATCCCCAAGAGTTCTTCCATGGGTGTTACTCATCATTAACATATGGCAGACAGCATGAGGAACGTGCCTGTGATCCCTGCTATTCCCAGCTACTAGGGAAGTTGAGGGAGACAGACTGCAAATTCAAAGCCAGCCTGGGCAATTCAGGGAGCTCCTGTCTCAAAATAGAAAGGGATGGGGAGGCAGCTCGGCGACACTTGCCTAGCATGAATGAGGTCCTGGGTTCAATCCCTAGAACAAAAAGCAAGGAAGAGCAAAGGGGGGAGACGGGGAGAGGAAGCGCAAGCACAGGAGCACTTGAGCGAGATACTGATTGGAGTTGGGTCAGCCTGGTGGCAGAGCTCTTGCCTAGCATGTATAAGGCCATGGGGTTGATCCCTTGGAGGCTGAGGCACAAGTATTGATGATAATTTTTAAAGGGAATAATTATTAAGCAAATCCAAAGCAATAAAAGTCAACTTACGCATCATATAAACAACTTTGTAAAATGAATGAAAACTGTCCAGTCTCTATTTGGAAAGAATAATTTTTTCTATCTTTTAAGGAATTATAAGCTACTCACAGGACCGCAAAGGATACCTGAAATACTTTGGACCCTCTCTATAAAATAATGCTGTCTTAAGAATATATATTTGACAGTCTCAGAATCTCCTCAAAAAACTGTACATTGCATGAGTGAAAAACACTATAGATGAACTGAAATACACTCCCAAATCACTCTACCATAGAAAGCAACTGGTATATATACCATCATAGTTGTTACTAAAATAGCAGGTATCTAACTAGAATCTTATGGACTGCTGCAATCAGCAGGTATTCATACAATGAACATTTACCAAAGCATGGAGCATGCACTGTTAAGCTAGGGTTACGGATATGTCAACACTAGTAACCCTTCTCTATTTCTCAAGAGTCACACCAACAGTAAAATGAATCAACATCAATTTGACTCTTCCCTTTCACTGGAAATGGATAAACTAAGCTGCCTTTCCTTATATTTTTTAATAGGCAGTCTTACTACATTATCCAAGCTGGTTGCAAACTCATGGGTTTAAGGATATTCCCACTCCAGCCTCCCAAATATCTAGGATTACAGGAACACACCACCATGCCCAGCTTCAGTGTCTCTTAAATAAAAAAAAAGGTATGTCAACTTACTGATATTTGAAGAGTCTAAGATTAAGAATTTAAACCAGGCATGGTGGTACACACCTGTAAATCCAGCTACAAGGAGGCTGAGGCAGGAGGCTGACAAGTTCAAGTGCAGCTTGGGCAACTCAGCAAGACTGTCTCAAAGTTAAATAAGGGGTGAGGATATACAAAGCTCAGTAGGAGACAACCCTGGGTTGTTCAGTCCCTAGGATTGGGGATGAGAAGATTGGATAGCTTTTAAAAATTAAAGTTCCTCACTATTCTTCCCAATGTCCAAGCATTAATTCCATTTAGTTTGCATAAACTAATAATACTTTGTCTTTTGTTGTCAGTACTTTTTAAAGTATTTTCCCTTGAAATATCCACAGAATGTACTATAGAACTAGCAACCAACAATCCCGTATTTTCTAATAACATTACTATTTGAGTATTTGTGAATATGATGATTGAAGAATAAAGGTTTCAGAGAAAGCTTCAGCTCAGTGTTGTACACTCTGCTCCTGCTCATGCTAATGTATAGGGAAGCAGCTGTAATAAACGATGAATTATTAAAGTTCTTAGTATCATGTGGAGCCAGAGGTGCCATTAATGTAGTCGTGCAGTACCCTCAGGGTGTAAATTATTTATAGAATGTACAGAGCTATCACAACAGCTTGAGGAGCAAATCAAGTTCCACAAGCTAACTGCAAAGAGGTCCTGGCTGCAGAGACGCAGGGGTTTTCTTCCACACAGGCACATACACACACTTCTAAATCAACAATCTGCTTTCTCAAGAATCTACAACACTAAAAAAAAAAAAGAAGAATCTATAACACTAAAAGGCCAAGTGAACTTCAACAACAAAATCTCTGATACAGAGGTCCTCTGTGAAGTTAAGACACAAAAATATTACAGCTAACATTTTAGGTATGATAATATTTTACTTAGCAAAATTTGTCCTCTTCTGTAAGTGGAAATCCCTATCTTATTAGAATACACTGAGCATCATTTGTTTTTAAAAATACTAAGGGTGGCTAATCAATTATCACACTAGGATTTCATGCCAGTGATCTGATATTCTTGGGGCACGACCTAAACACAATTTCAAAATAACTTAAAATTCTGTCTGCTTTTATAGATCTGTTTTTCCTTTACCACTAACAACTTTACACTAAGGGCTCTCAGTTCTTGGAACGGTCAGCCTTCCTGGCTGTAATGACCTGCCTACCTTTTCAGATTTGTTGCTTCTAATCAGAAGTCTAAAAACCATCAATGCGTGTTAGCACTGTCTGAATCAGGACTAAATGAGATCTGAGTAAGAGTCTCCCCCAAGGAATAAAGGATTCCTAGAAGCATTTTTACTTTATGGTTAAAGCAGAGGTAGTTGAAGACACTGGGTAAATATCTGCAGGATAAATAAGACGTATGATTTGAAGGTAACAATAATACAACAATCATTGTTGATTTCCTATCATATTGTTTTGAAATTCTGTATCATTTTTATAGTTTTTGTGGGGTTTTTTTGGTTTTTTTTTGTTCTTTTTTCTTTAAAATTAAAAAAATAAAGATGTACACTAGCATGAGACATAATGGTACTCAAAATAAGCACTAGCACAATGGTACTGCATACTAAACTTTCTATCCTTCATTTAGACTGCACTACTAACTTGCAAAACGTTGTACAATATCTTTTATGTGAATC